CACCGAGGACCTATCCACGTCATCATTTACCCAGAATGCTTTGTGTGGAAATAAAATGGCTCAGTTCATATTAAATCTTTTTAAAAATGTGCAAAACTAAACAGCCTACAGTATTTTTACAGTCTTTATTTTACAGTTAAAATAAGTGTTTATCAAATAAAGTTTAATGTTACAACTAATCATGGATCCCTTTAAAGTCGTCGCTAAAAAGAGATGTTCAGGCTCATTGAGTTTAACTGCTTCATCCCAGATTACAAAAAAAATCATATCAGGTAATTATGGTTGATTTATTGATGCTTTATTATACATTTATAGAACCCACAGTGGACAGTAAAACACAAAGTAATATAAAATACTTCAGTACAGGACACATCTAATTTGTTCCAGTTGCAGATGTAGCCACTTTTATGCTGTATGATCTCACGCTGCACTGGTGCATCACATCTTTGCAGCACATCTCTAGTRATATTTCTTTATGTCAGCCACATTTTCTTTTSGATTAYGAGATTCTAATCTTCCTGTCTTTACTTTTTTTTATTAGGGTTATCCAGGATTGCCAGGAGGTCCAGGAGACATAGGGATGCAAGGTGCACCTGTAAGTTTCATACACTCCAAAAGGAGGGTCTTTGTCTAAAAAAATACATGTAAATCTAAAAAAACAAAGAAATACTTTTAAAAATTCTGATTTAGCTGACCGCATGTTATTTGTAAGTTTTCTTCTTAACTGATGTTTGTCTTTTCAACTCYCGTATTTTTGATTCAACATGTTTCGGTTTGGATGTGCTCATGGTAGCCAAAATATCAAAATATTGTTTTACCCTTTTTTCCTCACTCTCTTTAAACACCAGTCTCCAGATTCACTGCTCTCTGTGTTTTATCATATGTTCATCGATTGTTTCTGTTTTCACAGGGCCCACAGGGACAGAGAGGCACTGCAGGCATCGGTGGTCCGAAAGGCAGAGGGGTAAGAGCTGCCTTTAGCATTTAGCATTCAAACATTCCTCTTACTAGTTTGCAATAAAAGTCTCCACATCAAACAATTAAAGCTTCACTTTTCAGACCTGGGGATTATTTGTTTCCAGTGGTGTGCTCAGCTAACCCAAATATTACAGTAGCTTCACCAACATCTAAAATGCTACTTAAATTTCTTAATTCTGCTAATGATAAAAATCTAAATTGAAAAAATCAATAATACCCAGCTGCAGCTGCAGCCGCTACAAGTCACGCCTCTCTTTTTTTTTCTTTTTCTTTTTGTTGGTTTCATGGTCTCGTGAAATAACAGGAAGAATCACTCATTTGCCACCTCTTTAAATGCAGGAAGTGGAGTAGATGGGGGTTTTGCTCATAGCTTTTCTYGAAATCCACAACTCATTTTGGGGTGAAACTGTTAGCACGCCCCCTGCACACCCCGAGGAAGAAAAACAAGATGAGTTGACGCAGAGCACGATCGGAGCTGGGAGACCTGGCTAAAAGAGTCCATGCTCGCTCGTCAAAGCTGAGGCGGCTGCGGTGGAGCCGCTTTTTTGCTTTAAGCTTTTCGCAAAAAGTACCCTGCGGATCCACATGAAACTTACAACAAGGCTTTATCACTCCTGGGGCTGCGTTCAAGCTAGATTTCAGTCATGTCGCACGATTGGTTTAAAGGTTGCTTTGGCTTCTTAAAAATCGAATTCACCACACCGGTGCTTGAAACTTTCTGCAAAACTTGCTMAAAGCTAAGGGGAACTAACGATTATACGCTGAGAAATTTATGAGCTTGGACAGAGTCGGGGCGAGGACCGAAACCACTTCGCATGTTAGTAGCTGTTAGCAGCTTGTAAAAATCACCAAAAATCCCTCCAGGCCTCGGGAACACATGAATAAAAGTTCAGCTCGCTACACTGAGAAATGGCCTTGTGGTAATTGTTAACGGTCACCGTGCGCTTTGTGAAATAAACACAGTCACACACAAGCAGTTACATGCATATTTATTCAGAAAAATCACAGAATACATACAAAAGTACTAAAGTCAAAATGGCCGACTTTGCTATTTTTAACATAACATGTGCCCCCCC